TCTTACCTAGGAAGATTAATTAATTCCAACAATATAACTTCTCAAAAAATACATGGAAATGGAAGGTGATCCTCAGGGATATACAAAATTACATATAAGAGGAAAGGAGGGGTAAGACAAGATAATACAAGTGGAAGAAACGATTTACAGTAGAGGAGGTAGAGAGAGAAAAGAAGAGGGGAGGGGAGGGGGGATAATAGAGAATAGGATAGACAGCAGAATACATCAGTCACTAGAACGGCAATATGTAAATCAATGGAAGGGTAAGTGATGTGATACAACAATCTGTATATGGGATAAAATTGGGAGTTCATAACCCACTTGAATCAAACTCTGAAATATGATATATTAAAAACTATGTAATGTTTTGAATGACCAACAATAAAAAAAAATTAAAAAATACAGATTAGGGTTGATTCTTTATATACTTTAAATGATTTTCAAAAACTTCTTGGGGATATTAATTGGATTAGGCCTTACTTAAAATTAACCACTGCTGATCTTATACCTTTATTTGAAATTTTAAAGGGAGATTCAAATCCAAAGTCACCTAGACAAATATCTCCTGATGGAAAGAAGGCTTTATTTAAGGTCGAGAAGGTTATTTCAGATCATTATTTACAACAAATAGACTATAATAAGCCCTGGATGTTAATAATCTTACAGACTTCACACACTCCTACTGGATGCCTATGGCAGTATGATCCTTTAGAATGGATTCATTTGCATTCTACTCCAAAAAAGATTAATATTTCATATCCCACCCAGGTGTCATCATTAATTTGTAAAGGTAAACTTCGAAGTAGAGAGCTCTTTGGATGAGATCCATCCTCCATTATTATTCCATATAAAAAAGAACAATTGGATTTTTTATTAAATGTTAATGATGAATGACGTATAGCATTACAGGGATTCTATGGAGAAATATTGTTACATTTGCCTAACCACCCATTACTACATTTTATGACTAAGGTAAATACTATTTTTCCTAAAAACTTTT